CCGCGCCTCCCCGCTTCGTCTCAGGCTTCCCGCGAATCTCTGATTGGCGGGAAGCAGGGGAGGGGGCGGGGCGTGCAGGGGAGGGGAGGAGGGGGAAGTGAGCTGGGGGCGGGGCGGACAGCTGCAGCGCGGGGCCTAATTCAGCCGGCCCTGCCAGGGAGCCCCCTCACCTGTGTCCCCAGCTCTGATCTCTCTCTTGATCGAAGGCCCTTCGGGGCTTTGCTGAACGAACACTACGATGTTGAGCTCCGGACGGGTCAGTCTCTGGCTGGGGATTCTCCAGACGCTGGTAGCGCTGAACGTGAGATCCGGGTTCTCACTGATTTCTGGGCTCTCGTCTCTCCCGCTCTGTGCCCCGTCACAGCGCCACTGGATCCGGTGAATCTCCCTGGGGTAAAAGTTCTGGATCTGGACGGCAAACGGCACCTCCTCCGGGGGCTCCCAGTGCGGTAACACCTGGATCCCGGACACCTGTGCACGGGCTGAGCAGACAGCAGGAACGTCAGTGACAGGGGCAGTCGGAGGCCAGGGGGCTCCATGTGACTCTGTGATGCCCCGTCCGTCTCAGCCCCGCTCCCCAGGGCCGGCGCGTCGTCCCAGCGGGAATTATTTCCCCAGCTTGGAGCGAGCTCCCCCCTGTCTGACCTCCCCCGGCTGAGCGCCAGGCCCTGAGCGTGGGGCTCTGTGACCCCCAAAGCCGGGGCGACTCCCTGCTGCCCAGGAGGGGCGGGGAGCCGGACGGGGCTTGTTCCCACTGGGAGTCTCAGGACTGTGCGGGGCCTGACCCAGAAGTGGGGAGCAGGGGGAGGGAACAAGGAGCCACCCCCCCAGCCCATCCCCCACCCCCAGTGAGAGCCCCAGAGACAGCTGCAGCCCCTTCACTCGCGGGAACCTGGGGCTGCAGCCCCCCAGAGGGAGCGGGGGGAGGTGGGGCTGCCCCCCGAGGGTACATGGCCCTGGCTGGCAGGGAGAGGGGAGGGGCTGCACCGTCCCCAGGGGTGAGGGACTGAGGACCCGGCCCCTGCACTCACTGGGGCTCCAGCGTGGGGGGCACGTGGGGGTCAGCGAGGGGCTGATGGGGGCAGAACTTCTCCGACTTCACGGGCTGTGTTGGGCCGTTTCCCTTCACCCCCGGAATGGACGAGACGCTCCAGTGACCAGAGATTTCAGACAGAGACACTGACCTGTCACCTGCAACTCCCCGCTGCCAATCTCCAGGGGGGTCTGTAGGGTGACATGTCCCACCCGGCAGACGTACTCGGCCCCCTGGTCTCTCTGCACCGAGGGGGTGAAGCTGAGTCTCGTCTCCTGCTGGAAGCTTTTCCCGTCCTGTGTGCGGGGAGCTCCGGGGTTGATTCTGTACTCGGCAGAGTTCAGTATACGAACAGCAGCCCCGGCCCCCCGGCCCCTCCTGAGCCAGGTCACACTCAGCGCCCCGGGGAAATGCCCCGTCATGCGGCAGCTCAGGGTGATTTCCTCCCCCGCCGTCACTGACTGGGGTTGGGAGATTTCCGACACCTCCGGGGGCCGCAGGAGACCTGGGGAATGAAACATCCAGAGACAGTTACAGGCCCCGTAAGGGGGAGACGGGGCCTGGCGGGGGGCTGCTCCCCCCTCACTTCAGACAGGAGAGATCTGACCCCTCATTGGGGCTCTGTGATGAAGAGCGAGATTTTCTTGTTTTCAGTGGGGTTTCAATGGTTTGCATGTGGAGGGGGTGGGACTCAGTTTCCCTGGGTGTTACTGGTTTAACGAGGTGAGGGAAGAGGGAGTTTGTTGTTACAGAGGACCGGAGAGGGAACTTGGGACCCCAGCCAATGGCCTGGAGGATGGAGACCCCAGCGACCGGTGACCTGAGACCCCGACCCGGAGACCCAGTTGAGGAGACACAGCCGGTTCTGGCCAGTGGGCGGACAATGGGCTGCAGAGTGAGGACCCAGTGACCGAACCAGCCGGTTCCAGCCAGAGGACAGAAGCGAGGAGAGGAGGCCCCGGTTTACGACCTTGTTTACCTGGAGAGAAGACAATGGACAGAGACGGGGCCTGGGGCCGGTGATCTCAGATGTCCAGCTGGGAGCAGGGGGGCTCTGGGCTGGAGAGGGGGAGCAGGCAGAGCCCACCTGGATGCAGGGAGACTGGGATGTGCTGGGCTGAGGGAGGCCAGGCCTGAGGCCCTGAGAGTTTCCTGTGCTGTGTTGAACCCTCAATAAACCCTCCTGTTTTATGCTGGCTGAGAGTCACTCCGGGCTAGAGAACAGGGTTACATCAACTCCTTCAGGGGGTGGAGGCCCCAGGGGTCCAGAGCGAGTGGACTCCGTGAAGGGGCCCACGGCAGAGACAGACGTGCTAAGGCTCCGAGAGGTGCGGCTCCAGGAGGTGGAGGGGCCTGACCCCGAGAGAGAGTGGACCCTCGAGAAGGGCTGTCACACTGAAAGGGGCACCCCCCAGGGACCGCACGGGGCCAAGAGTGGGCACGATCTGTGAGTCCATGACAGGCTGTTACCACATAAAATCACCCCATGTGTGACACTGTTACACCCCGACCCATCGGCGTCTCCAGCTGGAAAGGGGGACGAGGAATATTAGCTCCCAAAACTTCTTCATCCCTCAGGGACCCCGTGGGGGGCAGCGATTCCTGCTCATTCCCCGTCCGACTCCAGGGAGCCCCCCTCACCTGTGTCCCCGGCTCTGATCTCTCTCTCGATCGGGGGCTCTTGGGGGCTTTGCTGAACGGACACGGTGACTGTAAATCCCGGACGGGTGATTTGGTCACTGGGGAGTCTCCAGACGCTGGTAGCGCTGAACGTGAGATCCGGGTTCTGGCTGATTTCCGGTGTCTCGTCTCTCCCGCTCTCTGCCCCGTCCCAGCTCCACTGGATCCAGGGAATCCCCCTGGGGTAAAAGTTCTGGATCTGGACGGCAAACGGCACCTCCTCCCGGGGCTCCCAGTGCGGTAACACCTGGATCCCGGACACCTGCGGCCGGGCTGGGGGTGGGCAGACAGCAGGAGTGTCAGTGAGAGCAGGGGCTGGGGAGCTGAGGGGTTTCACCCCACACTGGGATCCCATAGGGGGAAATCCCATCCCTGTCACTGTGTAATTCACAATCCCGTCTCAGCTTGTTCTCCTGCTTCCCATCCCCCTGGGGAACCAGAGACCGGGCAGCGGAGGGGGTGGGGATCTCAGATCTCTGCTTGTTCCCCTCACAGCCTCCATCCCCCTCCCACCCGAGCCCCCATCACCGAGGGGAGACTGGGACGGAATCCGGCCCAGGAACCTCCCTCCCTGCACCCTGGCTCAGCAGGGCAGCGGGGGCACGTAGAGACCTGAAATCAGAGCAATACCCCACCCCAGCCCAGCTCCCCCAGCCCTCACCGGCAACGTCCTCAGCGAGCAGGGAGCAGCCCCAGGCCCCCCAGACCCCGGAGACCGAACTCCTCACGCCCGGTGTCTCCTGACGCCCTCCAGGCCCAGCTACCCCGCAGGCAGGACGGGATCCCCCCGCCATGAGGGGGAACTCAGCCCTGGGGACACTCACCCCACGGCCGGATCTCCCCGGACTCTCGCTGCTCTCGGATCCCGCTGGCCTCGTGGTGGAAGCTGCACCTGACCCGCGCCCCTTCGTCCTGCACCGTGGGGGTGAAGCTCAGGGAGGCCGCGAGGCAGGTCCCTGATCTCTCCTGTAAACAAAACAATGAGGAGTCTGGTGGCACCTTAAAGACTAACAGATTTATTTGGGAATAAGCTTTTGTGGGTAAAAAAACCACTTCATCAGATGCATGGAGTGAAAATCCCAGATACAGGCCTAGATATACTGGCACATGAAGAGAAGGGAGTTACCTTACAAGGAGATCTCTCCTGTGTCGCTCTCCAGCGCTGGGGCTGGGGGTGTAACAGCAGCTGGTGCTCAGGCCCCTCCCCGGCCTCACTGACCCCGTCTGTCCCGATCACCGTCCTGTCCTGTCCGTGTATCCGCTCCCACGTCACAGCCGTGTCCTCGGGGAACGTCCCCTCCATGGAGCAGCTCAGGGTCACCTCCTGTCCCAGGAGACACCGTGCCGGCCCCAGCACCTCGGAGACGGAGTAGGGGGCTCTCGTGCCTGGGGTCAGAGCGACACAGGGGGTCAGTCGGGGGGGAGGGGGGGTCTGGGAGACGCGTCCGGCCGGAGCTTGGGGCCGGGAACGTCATGGACCCAGAGCAGCCGGCGTGAGAAGCGGCTCTGTCTTGCCCCCAGCTGCCCGGGAGAGCGGCCAAGCGAGCTGGGGGAAGGTGCGGTGAGAGAAGGACAGAGACGACCCCCCCCCCACAGGTAACTCGGGGGGCGGGGGGAGAACGGCACCCCCCATGCTGGGCACAGGGTGGGGGAGTTACTGGGGGGGGCGCTGGGAGCAGGTTCCCTGGCCCCTGCTGAGCTGGGG